CCCAGGCTGGAGTGCAGTGGCACCATCTTAGCTCACCGCAACCAACCTCCGCCTCCCGGGTTCTAGTGATTCTTGTGCCTCAGCCTCTCGAGTAGCTGGGACTACAGGTGTCAGCCACCACACCTGGATAATTTTTTGTATTTTTAGTAGAGACAGGGTTTCACCATGTGGGCCAGGATGGTCTTGATCTCCTGACTTCGTGATCCACCCGCCCCAGCCTCCCAAAATGCTGGGATTACAGGCATGAGCCACTGCGCCCAGCTAGCTCCTCTTCTTATAACACTATTGGGAATCTATCCTTTTTGTGCCAAGATGTCCAGCTAGCCAGGTCTTTCTAGAAGACATCTGCAGCCTATATGCCTTCTAACGTGTTCTCAAGGCTGTGATCTGAATTAGGTTCTGGAGCCTTTAGTACTTCTGTCAGAAAAATGGGTTAAAAAGTCTGGGGCACTAGTGGATGCTTACTGTTTTTCTCTGTAACAAACTATGACAATGTCATCAATTTCATTTTTCTTCAAAATCTTCAGTACTAAGCATACGATCTATGATAACATGAAAAAGTGGGCAGAGGTGTAGGACTCTAGGGCCTTTATTCTTAATATTGACTCTAGGATACTTTTGTATCAGTGAGGAAGCTAATTATGTGAGCTAAAGATCTGTTTGCTCATCTGTAAAGAGAATAATAGTTTTTATTTCCTGTCTGCCCCAGAGGGAGACTTAAATGAGGTACCTCAATAGAGAGCTGAAAAGACCCTCTGTAATCATCTAGTCCAATTATTCTTTAGGCCTAGTTTCATCTGTCAAATGAACTTAACTCTCTGTACTTATATACCATCAGCAGGAATGGCCTATTGAGACAGAGTTTCCTCATATTCTATTATAGCAATGACTTGACATGTCTCAGAGGGAGGTAAAATAGAGCCCAACAAAAGCACTGACCAGATCTAATACTTTAGCTATAGATTTTATGAGGATAGACCTATAGGGGCTGGCATAGCTATACAGAGGCCACACAAAGGCCTGTGGGATGGTTCTGAAAGGTAATGAATATTTGTGAACAAGTCCACTGTCTGTGATGAACAACAGATCTTACATGTACACGAGAGACCTGTCTAGAGTTTCCTCCCTATGGAGCCAACCAGCCAGAAGGACAATGAGCACATATCCATTTCTTCTGCTGATAATGCTGTGTGTATCTAAGGCCTCTTTAATTAATTCCCTGCTGGGTCCCAAATGGCAGAATAAGAACGGAAACTTGAGATCCTTGATGTTTGAAAGCAGGTTGGCTGAGAGGTAGTGACTTACATTGGGACAAACCACAAATCTTGCAGCTTAGGCTAGGAATTCCACATGGTTCTGCTGCCTGTTTGCTGAAGAGAAATTACTATTTCACATCCTCCTCCGTGGACCTTAGTTTTCCCGCAATGGGAAATGACAAAAGATACAACCATCAACCAACCTCAGGGAAAGCGGAATGGCTAGTTTAATGGGATTAGTATCTCCATGGGAAGTCATGATAATGCTTCAGTGCTACAGTACCCTGAGCACTAAGTCAGGCAGATGCTACATTACCTGCGTTTTTAATGGGGAAATCAGTCTTCCTCTGCATAGTGGAAGGCAACTCATTGATGCGTAGGGATAGTTGGCGTTTAAAGGGTGACATCTTCTGGCTAAGAGCAGGAAATCCTCGGAAAGAGCCTTGGCGAGCAAGCTGTTCAATCGGAGCATGCCGGCGTGGGATGGCATGAGGATTGTTCATCTCCAGAGAGGCTGTGGCATCCGAAGTAGGAGAGGTGGGAGAGGATGGGGATGGGGCAGTGTTGCCAGGGGCCACTGATGAACCAGCGACTATCTTATCTGTTTCAGCTCAAGAAAATAAAGAGAACAAAGACCTTAGCAATGTTTTCAAATAAATTGAGTTTACAGAGCCGACAAATTCGAAAGCCCTCTATGTCCTTTTACCCATTTTCTTCCCAATGTCCCTTAAAAGATAAGTTAGAAGTAGGGTTCAGATCTGTTTTTCAGACAGATAAACGGCTTAGTAACCTACTACATGTCACACACCATATCTATTAAGACACAGACGTTAGATCTTTTATTCTCATTCAGTGATTTATAAAGTAAGACTGTGAACAAGATCTTAAAAACCCAGTTCCTATGAATTCCTAATATGTGGTCTTTTAAAGAATGATGATTCATGATTTTCAATGTTTATCTGTTAGGGGAGGAGAACTTTGGGAACTGCAGTGTAAGAAAGGTCTAAAGAAGAGTAAGTTTAACCATATATCTTTGATTAGGTGTCAAAGAATGTCATAGAAAGCAGTCTTATTTATTTATTTTTTGAGATGGCGTTTCACTCTTTTTGCCCAGGCTGGAGTGCAATGGCGCAATCTTGGCTCATTGCAATCTCTGCCTTCCAGGTTCAAGTGATTCTCCTGCCTCAGACTCCCAAGTAGCTGAGATTATAGGCATGTGCCACCAGGGCCAGCTAATTTTGTATTATTATTTTTTTTTTTGAGACGGAGTTTCGCTCTTGTTACCCAGGCTGGAGTGCAATGGCTCGATCTCAGCTCACCGCAACCTCT